GACTGCTGGAGTGTTCCCACCTTCCGGCTGGTCATCGACTACCCCTGGCATCCCATCTACCCTCAGAAGGCTGACGAGCAGCTGAAACAGTCGCGTACGTCCACTGCCTTCATCCTGTGGCTCAGATTTGTCCAGTCTGTGGGCCACACAGAGTGGGCCACACAGAGTGGGCCACACAGAGGGGGCCACACAGGGAGGGCCACAGTCAGGTGATTAATCAATCACTGGCTTCAGTTGTGATCGGCTCCACTTCATTATCACGGCGTTCGTCGTACGACGTGACTCAGCCTCAGTGGCGACTGACACGGAGAGTGGGCCACACAGAGTGGGCCACACAGAGTGGGCCACACAGAGTGGACCAGTCTGTGGGGCATACAGTGTGGTCCAATCTGTGGGCCATGCAAAGTGGACCACACAGAGTGGACCACAGATTCCTACCATCCACCAGTTCAAATCCTTAGCACCACCTGGTGGTTCCCTACAGTAGTACCATATTGATGACCAACAGAGAAGTGTCCTGGTGGAGAGTTGTTGTCATTGGTTTATATTTGTTTGGTCACACAGACTAAGTGACCTTCATGACCTCTGACTCCTCTCTTCATCTCTCTCTTCCAGTGTCTGAGATGGAGGAGTCCATGCTCTCAGCTTTGCGCCCCCCAGAACACTCATCGCTCCTGCACAATGTTCCATCGTCTTCAGCCGCTCACAGCCCGCCCCCCACCGACCCCTCTGAGCTGCCCCCCGACAGGCTTCATGTGGAGATGGAGATGTCTCCAGATTCTCAAATAATCCTCTACGGTCCTCTGCTCAGAACACTCATCTCCATCAAGGTGAACATCTCTCTACATCTGATCTAATCTGTCTAATCTGGTGACCTCCTAACCTACGAACTCTGTGTATCTGTGTGTGTGTGTGTGTGTGACCTTGAACTAGTCACACACACACACAGCTGTCCTCGTCGTCCAATGGGATTGGATCATTTTAGTCAGGAGTCGCACCATTGTCACTTTAAATATACACACAAAAGTTGACCAGTGGTTGTTCTCAGACATGGGGCGGGGGTCTGATGAAGAGACAGGAGGACAGACAGCCCAGGACATGTCCTTTAGGACTGGTGCCTTTAGGACAAGTGTAGTTACTAACAACCATCACACCCAACCTCAGGGCTAACTAGGTTAACAACAACGTGACCCTGTGACCTTCAACCCTCTGCTGTCCCACAGGAGAACTACTTTGGTGAGGATGACATGTACACCGACTTTGAGGAGGTGGCCACCAGTCCTGTGTTGTCCACCTCCTCCTCCTCCGGCCTGGGCTGGTCTCCACTGGGCATGGAGAGCTGTGAGGGCAAGGAAACCTCAGACCTTCACCCCCTGGATCTGCGGCCCTGGGACATCACCGTCTTCATCAACCTCTACAAAGTCCATGGACGACTGCCAATGGTGAGACTGAGTGCCAGTGTGTGGTGGAATGTTGCTGTGACAGATTCATCAGTGTGGAGTGGAGTGGAAATGATGACAGAGTATTTAATCATGAATCTTTATAGCAGTGATATTCAGTCCTGAAGTGTCACCTGGGCTTTTTATTCAACGCTGGTCCTGGTCTTATGAAAACCAGGACTGCTGCAGTGACGATCCTGAAGGACCTTCACTGCTGCAGTGACGATCCTGAAGGACCTTCACTGCTGCAGTGACGATCCTGAAGGACCTTCACTGCTGCAGTGACGATCCTGAAGGACCTTTACTGCTGCAGTGACGATCCTGAAGGACCTTCACTGCTGCAGTGACGATCCTGAAGGACCTTCACTGCTGCAGTGA